AAATCCCAGTTTAATTTGAAGTAAAATGAGAAGCTGTGGTTGGAAATGTCCCCTAGAGAAGCCAACTGCCTGAGCTGGGACACATTTCTCTGCTGTCCCCTAGGACCAGGAAGGAAAGCACTAGGCTGAGGCCATGACGGGAGCAGGGACACTCAGGGCTTGGGGACTCTGGGTTCTCTTCGAGCAGGAAGATGTCCCTGGGGTCTGTGGGGACCTCACCCTGCCCCTGCCCTGACTGCCAGCTGGAACCAACCCCTCAGGACGAGGTGGGGGTGGGGATTCCGAGGGGGTTGGGAGGGGGGAGACAGTGACAAGAGACAGCATCCGGAAGTCAGACACAGGTGGGCTGAGATGGGGGTGCCACACTAGGGAGGGGCCAGAGGGCTTCCTGTGGGCAATCCAGCAGACCAGTGCTCCCTCCAGCTCCATCCCGTCACGGCCCCTCCTTATCCCCCAGGGTTACCAAGCCTTGGGTCCAACCCTGCACCCCAGCACCAGCCCTGCTCTCTGAGCCTGCCAGCAGCCCCTGGGGCCTCCTGCACCTTCACCTCCTCCACCCTCCTCCCAGTTCCCTGAGTCCCACTCCTCATGCCTGCCCCTCTGCTGAGGGACCTGCCCAACCCCCACGAAAGGACAAGCCTCATCCACAGGCTCCCCTGGCCTTCTGTGTCCCACCTGCAGCCTGCACGTCCCCACCCCGCGTGGCACACACCGTTTGCTCACGGTCTCCCCCAGAGAAGGCAGCCTCCGTGTCACCACCACGTCCCCAACAACTAGCGCATTTGGCAAGGACCGTCCAAGTGAGTGAGGGCACAGACGGCCAGACACTGAGTGGAGGAGGGAACGTGTGCCGAGATGGACGCCCAGGCAGAGGGGACGCTGGATGCCGGCCAAGGGAAGCCATCCTCCCTCCCTCCCCTTCATTCTCTCCCTCTCCATCTCCCCAGTCCTTGGGCACCAGCCCTGCCTGCTCACCCACCAGTCCCTCCCCCGCCTCCTGCTTAGAGGCCAATAGACACAGAGCCCAGGGTTCTGGATCCCACTTCCCCTCATCCACCTAGGACGGCTCTCCAGCACTTCCCGTCTACAGCCTCCACTTGTCCTCGCCTCTGGGACTAGTGCACAGGCCGTAGTCCTCCTCCTGCCCCTTCATCTCCCTCCGGCCACTGCCCCAGCTTTCTGCCTTGCTTTGCCACAAAACTCCCTGGAAAGAAGAGCTGCCCCCAGAGGCTCACCCCGCACCCCTCTCCGTCCCTGCGAGAGCCCCTCCCAGCCAGTCCTCGTCAAGAACCTAACGCCACGCTCACTCAGCTGCACAGCCGCCTCTTGCTTCTGTTCAAGAAGGGCTCTTCCTCCCAGAAACACCACCCACTTTCCTCTCCACACACCTCGCTGGCCAGTCCCCACCTACAGACTCGGGGCCCTGGGCTCAAATGGGCAGCTTCCCCCAGGAATCCTGTCTCGTCTTGGGCTCAGAAGACCATCAGGACCCCTGTGTCCTGCATTGGCACCTCCAGCCACAGCCTCCTGAGCGTCTAGATGGCTCACCCCTTGTCCTTCCAAACTCATCGTGGAGAACTTCTCTGAGCATCCCACACGGCAGCCTCCCAGCCCACATGCCACACTCCTTACTGCCCTTCCCCGTGGGGACTGAAGCAGGGGTTTCCGTTCACAGACTGATCTTCATGGTGCCCTACCCCAGGCACGGAGATGTAGCCAGGAAGTGGCCAGTCAAGACCGGTCCTTATGGAGCCTAGATTTAGGGCCAGGGCGGGGGGACGGCACAATGGAACCTCACACGTAAAAGAAGGGTGACAATTGAGGAAGACTGTTCACACTAAGAAGAAACCGGGTAGGGCTGCAGAGACCGTGCCCCCCGGAAAGCAGTCCACGGGGCAGAGGCTCCGTGGTCTGGTTCACCGCTGTGTCCCCAGCACCCAGCAGAGGCTCAGCAAACTTTGCATAAATAAGTGATGAGTGGTCAGCAAATGATGCCCTCAAAAGAGGGCTGCTCCAGTGACAGACGCCCGGACAAGAGGGCAGAAGACAGACTGTAGGCAGGACAGACCCTCAGCTCATTCCCGTGAAGCCAGGACTAGATGCCGGGACCCCAGTGCCAAGGGTGAACCCAGGCTTGGTTTACAGGTGAGTATCTGAGGGAAAGAAGGTTCCCTGAGGCAGGGGTGGAATCCCCATCCCAGCCTGGGGGTTCCTCCCATGACCCCCACACCAGCCTCAGGAGCACAGGGACCCCAGCGGGCCTCGAGGGACAAGTTGGGCTTCACCAAGCAACACGGCCTCCCAGCCAGAGTCCCTCCCCTCCCCGCCATGGGCCTCCAGCCCTCTGAGCACCAATTAAGTAAACCCTAATTAAAAACAACAAAGTAATGAGAAGTCCCCGGCTTCGCGGGGACTGCCGCTCGGGAGGGGCTAGATCCAGCGACTCCCTGCCCCCCACCCCCACTAGCACACACACCGAGACGGGCCAGGGGCCTCCTCCTACCACAGACACCCACGCACACACCCAGGTCCCCTCGTCCCCATGAGCTGTGAGCAGGAGCAAGAGAGCAGGTCCCCTGCGGACTCCAGGCCCACGCGGGAGCCCCTCCCCACCTGGGGTCCCCTCCCCGCCTACAGCCACCTCTGGGGACACTGTGCAGAGACAGGAGCCTGGACACCAAGCCCTCCTCCTGTAGACATGGAGAGTAGACACTCTGCATCCCAGAAGAGAGACAGAATGAGGCCGAAAAGAGAAAGTCAGCGAGAAAGACTGAAAGGGAAAGAACCAGAGACAGAGAGGACAAAGGAGAGAGAAAGGATCAGAAATACGGAGACAGGACCAGGCAAGTGGGGGAGAAGGAGGGAAGGAGGGACAGAGAGGCAGAGAGGCGGGGTTGGGGGTGGTGGACGACAGAGGGCAGGAGAGAAGTAAGGGACGATCAGGGAGAGGGAAGAGACGAGGACAGATGGAGGGATCCCCAGAGTAGGGTCAGGGGCCGGCATTAAGGTCTCAGGACCTGTGGGATCCTCTCCCTGGGGCTTCCAGGAAGATGGGTACGTTCTCTTCTCTTGCATGTCACAGGCCAAGGAGGGCAGCCCGGAGTGCTCTCCCCTCAGGAGGTCTCTCCCAGCCCTCACTGAGGGGCCAGCTTTCTGGACCCCCATCAGGACGAGCTTATCGGAAGATCAGGGGTCCTGCCACGGGGTGAGTGGGGGCTCCTCTGCCTCCCTGCCTTTACCCCGGAAGCCCAAGCCCTCAGCATCAAAGATCGCCTCCTGGTAGGCAGGGCCGAGCCCCAAGCACCCGCCACCTCAGGAACCCGTTAGTCAATTCAGCAGACACTGTCTGACCCCTCCTGGGGACCCGCCCCAAGCTAGGCTCTGGGGACGCCCTGAAAAATAAGACACCATTCCTGTCCTCAGGGACTCACACCTCAAGAGAGGGAGCAATGTAAACAGCAGCGACACTCCTGGCCACCCTCCCCAGTGCCTGCGGGGGATGGGGGTGTGGGGGGGGGGTGAGCGCCCTGCCCTCCGAGGATGGGGGGGGCACGTGGATGGCTGCCAGTCTCCACAAGGCCTCAGGGGCTTTTGGTAAATGCCGCCCTAACACCACACCCGCCAGGAACAGGGAGTGCCCCTGTGTCTGCTGCTGGAACCCCACAACTCCCCGGAGAAGGCTCCCCACTCCCCTCCCTTCTTAGTCATCATGAAACATGGAATGAAAATCTGAGAGTTGTGCATAAAACCCATTCATCTGGAATTCAGAGGCACCCGTCCCATCGGTGCCGGTAAAAGGGTGGTGAGGGCCACAGGCTCCGGCCCCGAGGGAAAGCACAAGGCAAGAGGGGCCTGGGACAAGCCCAACGTCCCTCCAGGAGACACCCACCAGGTGGGAGGCCAGCCCAGCGCCAGCACAGAACTCAGGCCAAGCCATGAGCAGCTGTACAAACAGGGAAGCGGGCCCCCCGGGATAGGGCAGGCACCCCAAGAGCCTGGCCCGGGAGCCCAGAGGCTCTTCGGGGGAGTCTGTGTCTTCTCACCTGCAGGGAGCCTGTAAAGCTTGAGCCCCAGACCCAGGCTCTCACGGTCACCTCCTCCCTCCTGTGCCTTCGCCCAAACCACCTCCGCACGTGTGCTCACCCACACCAAGGCAGGTTAGGGGGTCGCTGGGCAGATAGCACAAGGATGGAGATCCTGGGCACGATCAGTCCTTGGGAAGGACGGTTCTGGGCCACAGCGGGGCCTGCTCCCTCCTCTCCGATCTGGGCTGAGCCTCTCCAGGGACACTGAGGCCCCAGGGAAGAAGAGACTGCCGTCCCTGGCCTGGGCTGGGGCCCCTGGAGCCTGGGCTGTGCAAACAGGTCCTCTGGAGCAAATTCCCCAAGCACTCCCCCGCTCCCCGCACCCAGCGCAGAAGCAGCAAGGCCTCAGCTCCGGCCCTCAGCCTGCTGGCCAGAGGAGGGGCCCGCCAGGCAGACACAGAGACTGAGACCCCGAAGGGCGAGAGCGTTCTGCCTGCACCACGGCCCCCAGCCCGTCCCCAGGTCAACCTCTAGACCTCCTGGGCGGCTTTGGGAACCCCAAAGCGGTCATGACCAGGGTCCACTTGAGGAGAAAAGTGGTGGGCAGGCCACGCTGACTGGGCACCATCCCAGAGCCAGGAACCGAGGAAATGGGCTGACAAGCTCAGGCGAGCGGGGCACCGAGCGCCTGCCGGGAGCTCCTCGGCGGGAACCAGCTGAGCCGAGGGAGAGCCTCAAGCCCCCGCCCCCACGGTATGCCCATGGCCTAGCCCACCCGTGGCTCTGCTCGGGAGCAGCTACACCTGAGCGGGAACCGGGGAGCCGCCCTTCAGCCGAGATCACCACACACAGGGCAACAGCCCAAGCCCACACGGGCTGGCAATCCCGCGTTGCCTCGCATGCACCACGGCCGGGCGTGGACGTTGCTGCCCAAGCCCCAGCCCCCCCCACAAGGGCACAGCCCGCCCCGGCCGCCTACCCGGTGAGAACCACCACGAAGTCCATGACGTTCCATCCGTTCCGCAGGTAGGAGCCCTTGTGGAAGACAAAGCCCAGAGCTATGATCTTGATCCCCGCCTCAAAGCAGAAGATGCCAATGAAATAGGGCTCCGTGTCGTCCTGAGGAGAAGCGGAGAGAGGGTCGCCACCGCCCGCGAGCTCGGCAGGCCCAGGGCGGCAGCCGCACCAAACACGCCACCCCAGCTCCGCACCTCCGCTCGACTTTGCCAGCCACACTTCCCCGACCAGGCACTTCTGTCGTTTGCTCCCCTGCCCTGCTGTCCTAACAGGAAACGGGGAGGGGTCCTGGGAGGCCCTGCAGCAGGGGAAGCCCCGCTGACAGCACTTGTGGGCTGTGCAATCCACCCAGCGGCAATCCACTGCTCTAAAGGAAACAGACACGGGGTGGTCAAGGAACTGGGCTGCAGGCTCACAGTTGGTTGGAAACAGCCGTTCTCAAACCCAGAGGTGATCTGGGTCTGATCCTGGGTTCCAACCATTGCCGAAGTTGCCTGGATAAAGTCCCAGCTCCCTAGAGAGCAGCCCAGGACCCGCTTATTCATTCAGCACACATCTCGCGCTAATCACAACACACACATTCAGATCTTGGTGGGGCAACTACAGCCCAGCCTCAGGGAGACTCTGGAGGGCAAGACATCCAGCCAGGCAGCAAGGAAAGGAGCTCCAGGTGGAGGGAACAGGGTGAGCAAAGCAGTCTTGTCTCTCCACCAAGAGCATGCACTGGGGCCGGCCCCCTCTGGTGCTGAACAAGGTGGGAAACACAGGGTTCCAGAAGGAGGGTGGCCCATGGACACAGGCACAGCCAGTGTGGTCAGTGACCCAGGCATCACTCACATGGGGAAGGTGAGAGAACCTTGGTGCACAGGGGCCCCAGGGAACTGGAGCAAGGGGCTGTACTTGGAGGGTCAGCATGAGAAATAGCCTGAGCACTAACTTCAGACACCTGTGCACCAGGGCCGCTGTTGCAAAGAGCAGATGGACTGGGCAGGGGAAGGGTCTGCCCTCGGGGAGCCACCACAGGGACTGCCCTTCAGACAGCAGCTTGGCCCTGCCTGAGAGGGGCCAGGGTTGCAGGGTCCGAGGACTGGCCACCACGGGGCTACAGGGGCGGGGAGTGCCAGAGTGGCTCCCAGCAGCCGCTCTCAGCTCCCATTGAGGGCCTGTGACCTGTGCCTTCCTCCCCCAAGAAGCCTGGTCCTCAAGAGCTCTCCCCGTCTGTCCTGGTGTCCCCTCTGCCTGGGCCTTCCCAGCTGTGCATGGCAGAAGTGACCTCCCTGAGGGGCCCCATCAGCCCAGTGTCCATCATGGCTCAGCCCTGCCGTCCTGCTACCCAGATGCTGACTCATGACAGGAATAATCGCCCAGAAGCTTTAGGTCTAGTTTAGTTCTGGAGGGTCCCCTGTCCTCAAGGAAACGGGGCTGCTGACATCTGGCCCAGGAAACAGCTTGACTTGAGCAAACACATCCTAACAGAAAGCTGCTGGCCACACAAAAGAGCAGGCAAGAGCTGGGAGATGCCGTGCAGCCCCACCCCAGACTCTCTCATCACTGCTCTTCCCCCAGCCCCACTCTTGAGGAGCGGCTTGGGGAGGGTTGGGTGGAGAGACAGCCGGGGGCTTGGTGGATGGTGGAGTGGGACTGCCAGCTAGGGGTTCTGGCTACGAGCTGCTCAGGCAGGGGATGGGTGCTGGGAGCCAGAGCCCCCAGAGACAGGGAGCTGTAGAGGCCCCATCCCAGTCCAGGCTGAAAAACAAGGAAGCACCTGCATCACCTAGCCTCTTACCCCAGCAAGCCTCCTCTCCAGGCCCTGCTCTGTGTTCCAGCCTTCTCTCCACTAAGGGTCTGAAGGCCTATGTCTGCACACAGGGCTAGGGTCAGCAAGGGCTCCTCATGCCTCTAGAGCAGGCCCAAGCTGGGCACATTCTGCTTGTCTTCCCCATAGCCCCAACCCCCACCCCCAACACAAAGCAAACCTTCCCTCACCTGGAGGCAGGAGCTCAGACTTGCCCAGATGTCTGGCTGGCGCACTCAAGCCTGCTACCCAGCAGGGACAAGCCTAAGACTGACCACTGTACACCAGCCTCCCTGCCCCCCGACCCCCCACCAACTCTTGGCCCGTTTCTTTCTGGCCCTACCCCTGCCAGACTTCCCTGGAGGTATGGCCACACCCTGGGGCCTGGCAGAGTTTCCCTGCTCTCACTTTCTCTTCTCCAGCCTTCAGAACAGACGCTCACCACGAGCACAACACCAGCCTGCACAAGGGGCCCACAGGAAGCCAGCCACCCCTGTCTGGCTCCACAGGAGGCAAGAGGCACCCACAAGGACCACACCCACTCGTGTCTGGCGGCACAGCTGAGCTGCCCTCACACCCCTCCTCTCGCACAACCCAAACCCTTGGCCTGCAGAAGACTGCTCCAGGAAGCCTCCCATTCCCTGGCTGTCCACTTCCTTGCCTTCTTTTGATGCCTTGCCCAAGTGTGAGCACCCCCAAACAGCCTTCCTCTGTCTTCCCTTCTCCAGCCCTGGGCCTGTGATGGCCGGGAGGGGGATTTCAGGGCTAAGCACTGAACTGTCCCAGTAGCACTTCCTGTCTATCTCCACCAAAGTTAGGGAAAGAAACTGTGGAGAGGACCAATTGCTTGCCAGGGTACAAGGAAAGAGTGATTCTCCTCTCCATTCCCAGTGCCCCTAGGGGAGGCTGGGCTGTCTCTCAGGGACTTTAGGACCCCTAGCAGCTCTCCAGCAGGGCCTCAGACCCCCTTCTCCAGGCCCCTGCCCCTGCTCTTCTCCCTGCCCTCAGGCCTAAGAGCCTACACTGAGCCCAGACAAAGGGATCAGGTCAGGAGGAAAGACTGGGGGCTAGGGGACATAGCCTCACCTTTGAAATGAGGCTCACTGGTCCAGATCACCCTCTGCCCCTCCAGAGACCCTGCCCTGGAGTTCTGACTGTCATGTGCGACAGGGACTCCACAGGGATCTGTGGAGGTCTTGACAGGAATGGGTGAAAATGATTTAGGGGGGTGCCTGGGTGGCTCAGTGGGTTAAAGCCTCTGCCTTCGGCTCAGGTCATGGTCCCAGGGTTCTGGGATCGAGCCCCGCATCGGGCTCTCTGCTCAGCGGGGAGCCTGCTTCCTCCTCTCTCTCTGCCTGCCTCTCTGCCTACTTGTGATCTCTGTCTGTCAAATAAATAAATAAAATCTTAAACAAAAAAAAAAAAGAAAGAAAGAAAATGATTTAGGTTGTTTGGGAAGAACGCTTCCCATATGGGGGGGGGGGCATGGCGAAGGGATTCCAAGGAGAGCCAGGAAAGACAACTCTGAAGGACAGGTGGACAGTCCCTAGACCCAAGACCACACCACAGGGACCAAAGACGATCCCAGCCCTGCAGGAAAGGGTGGGCAGCCAGAAAGGCGGGTGCTCCCAGACCTGACATTTCCCTGGGCCTTTACGAATGCCCCTCCCCCACCCTAGCTTTCACTTGGTTTCTTGGATCCGGCATAAGGTCGCGGAACTGAACAGCCCATCTGAGGTCCCGGGCGGCTAGCGGCCCAGGGCAGACAGCTGCTGGCTAACGCGGTCTCTCTCGGGCCACGCTTCCCATCAGCGGCGGAGCGGGCTACCCCAGTCCTCTAGCCCTGAAGGAGGTGTCAGCCGCCTAGGTTCTCTGCTCTTCCTCCGCGAAGAAGAGATCACCCAGCCGGAGGACGCTGAACTGAGCCCCAGATCCTAGCCGGCCGCGGAACCAGACAGACTGCCACCCCCCCCCCCCACAGCCCCGCCCTCAGGCCCGCGCCGCCACCACACTCACCAGGCGCTCGGACATGGGCGTCTTGTCCCCGTCAGGGAGGTGCTGCTCCAGCGCCAGCACGATACAGTTGGCGATGATGGTGGCCAAGATCATGTACTCAAACGGAGTGCGTGGGTTAAGGAGCGGCCGGGAGGCGCCAAGGGGGAGGGGAGGCGAGGAGGCCGAGCCCCCAGCGCGCCGTGCCGCCGCCAGCGCCCGGCCCCCTCCGGAGGGGCTGAGACCCACCGGTCGGAAGCCCTCCCCACCCTTCCCGCCCTCCCGCCCTCCCCTCGGGGGCCGCCTCCAGGCGGAGCCTCTGCGGTCCGGGCGGCAGCCCCTCGGAGCGTCCAGGCGGCCGTCAGCACCGCGGACAGCGCCCCCGGCCCGCGCCGCGCGGCTCCCACGACCCGAGGGGCTGGAGGAAGGACCCCGCGCAGGCGCACACCCCCGCCGAGAGGCACGCAGCTACATGCACCTCCACGGGCACTCGCACCGACATATCCCCGGAGCCCCGAACGCACGCACGCGCAGCACCGGGTTCCTGTAATGCCCGCACACACGCCAGCACCTGCAGCCAGGCACGCGCCCCGGCTCGCTTCCACACGGTGCTCACACCTACACAGACGCGGATTCGCCCTCGGGTGCCCTCCAGGCGGGCCCCGCGCTCTGCACCCACACCAAGGGAGTGACGGACGAGTCCGGGGACAGGGGGCTCCGCCCAGTGTCCATCCCGCTCCCGCAGCCGCCGCCACCACGACCGCACGCGCGCGCGCGCGCGCACACACACTCAAACACACGCACACGCGGCGCGCGGAGGGTCCCGGAGCCCCGCCCCGCCCCCCCCTCGCCGAGAGCCGCGTCCCCGATCAGCCCCCCCCCCGGTCGCACCCTCCTCCCCACCCCGGGGAAGATGGCCACTGGGCGCCGCACGGGACCCGCCCCAGCCCCGGCCTCCCCCCCACCCCCCGCCACCCCCGCCCAGGCCGCCCCTCCCAGACCCGCCCCGGCGCGGACGCCGGCCGCCGCGCCGGGTCCCCGTCCCCTCGACCTCGGACGGTCCCCCGGCCCCCGCGCGGCCCGGCCCCCGGCAGGATATGGCCACTCGGTGATGCGCTTGGCGTATTTGCGGACGACGTTGTCTTCGCTGAAGACGAAGAGCGAGCGGTTGACGGTGAAGCAGTTCTGCTTGACCGGGATGGGGTTGTACAGCGCCATGGTCCGCGCGCGCTGCGCGATCGACTGCTTGTAGAGGACCCGCTGGCCCGGCTGCAGCCCCCCCGGGCCCGGGCCGCCCGGGCCGCCCGCCCCGCCGCCCCGAGCCCGCTCCCCACCGGCGCCCCCATAGCGGCTGCCCAGCTCGTCCCCGAAGCGGACCATGGCTCCCGGGCGCCGCGCGCATCCCCCGGCCCGGCGGCCCCGGCAGGGAGGGCGCGGGGCGCACCAGCCAGGCGCTCGGAGCCGAGAAGCAGCGGAGCCGCGGGACCCACACCGGACCTCGCCCGGCCCCGCCGCCGCACCCGACTCCGCCGCCCGCACCACGCCCTATAAGGGGCCGGTCACGTGGCGGCGCCCGGCCAATCTGCGCTCGCCCCGCCCGCCAGACCGCCACCCGCCCCGCCCCCAGTTGGCCGCCCCCGCCCTGTCCCCCGCGGCCGGTCCCGGCTGCCAGCGCTCTGGGCTGCGCCTCGGCCCCCCGGCCTCGGGGCTGAGCCCAGCCGGGGAGCGTGCGCCGTCCGCGCGTCCCGTCTCGTGCCCGGCCGGGCCCTGGCTGGATGCCGAACCCGGCAGGGGCGCCCGGGAGCCGGGCGGGGCTGGGAGTCCTCGACGGACCGCCGCTGAGCTGAGCGGCCCCAATGGACCCCTCCTCTGACCCCAGGAGCTGGAGACGTTACCGGCCATGCGAAGCTCCAGCCCAAACTGCGGAGAATTAGACCCTCGGCTCCCCATGCTTCTTTCCACACCTCACTCCCCTTGCTGCGGACCAGTGGCCTCCAGGATGCTGGCTCCGGGCCCTCTCCTGCCATCCTTTCAGAGTCTTGGACATCCTCACAGACCATGTTCTCAACTCCTGGGCTTGGGTTTTCAGGATGCACAGCTCTGTCCTGGGGCCCCTCAGCCCTCAGTCATATCCTAGACCTTCCTGTCAACACGCACTGAAGGGGTTCCAACATCTCAGCCGAGAGATTGCTTCGTTCCACCATCCATTCAATAACAGCTGAAGCGAGCCTGTTGTGTGCTATCCACCCATCCACCCATCCACCCATCCACCGTTCATCCATTCAGAGACTCCACTAAACCCCTGTTAGATGCCAGGCACGAGGCTCCCAGCTCTGCCTGCAGGGAGCTCACATTCTTACACAAGGAATGACAGACACTACCCCACTCCACACACACACACAATTTGTTCATTTGGGTCCTCGTGACATACAGATAAGCCTCCTGCAATCACTCCTGATGAGTGAGGGGATAAAGCCAGTGTCACATGCTGTCCCCTTCACCTGTACAGGAGAGCAGATCAACCCTGCAGGCAGCACCCGGTGGCAGTGAGTGCCATGAGAATGGAACAAGGATGGCAGGTGGCACCAAGTCGGGAAGACCTCTGTTAGGAATTCGCCTGAATGTTGTAGAGAAGTGAGACGTGCAAAGGGAGACCAGCATGGAGCGCAGAGGCCCAGGGGCAATCCGTCTGTCTGAGTGTGATGGGAAGTCAGGCAAGAGTTCTGTGCAGAGAGGTCATCATGACTCCCGTTCTGGAAGAATCCCTCTGGCTCGTGAGTGGGGAACAGACTTCGGGAGGCCCCATGGGGTGTGTCGCTCAGGATGCATTCAGATGTAAGCAACTCAAGCCGGCTCTCACCTGGTACAGTGTTAACCTCACTTACTAAAAAGGCATGAAGCGAGCCATTTCAGGAACACAAACTGTTTCCATCCTTCCTCCCTCCCATGGTCGCAATGCACACTTTTTGTCATGCTTGTCACCTTATGGCCCAACGTGGCTACCAAAGCCCAAAGCCTCCCATCTTTATACCACCAACTCAAATGAAAGAAGGGGCAGGTGTAAAAAAGACATCTTTTTTAAAGTAAACATAGAACATCCTTTTATAACAAACAAAAGGTTCCTCAGCAGCTCACCAGAAAACGTCTCTTTAAACTCCATTGGGCAGATCTGGACCACGGACCACCCCTGATTTCAAGAGGGCAGGAAAGTGGATGTACAGCAAAGGGACTAGGACTGACATTACACACTGAGGTGCCATGTAGTGACTGCAGACATAAACAGGGGTCGCTTAGCTGCAAAATGGAAGGGAAGATCACAGGGAGGCTGCCAAAAGGCCTGTCACTGGGAAAAACTGAGAGGTCTTTGACAGCAGCCCAAAGGAGAGATGGTGTCTGGTTGAGAAGTGTGATGCCCAGGGGCTCTCCCTGCAGCTGGCTGGATGGCTGGTGTTGCTTGTGAGACTTGTGAGGGAAGGAACAGACACTCTTAGATTTTTACCTGACCGTTAGTCTTCACTGGAACAGTGAGATGAGGGGAGGAGCTTGTTGAGCACAGGGTGAGGATTATGAATTTTGTATTTGACACTGAAGTGGAGATGTTGAGTAGGCAGTCGGACACTGCCAGGGAGGTGCGGACGACAGGTCACAGATGGAATACGAATCTGGAAGCTGTGCTGGACACTTCGTGTCTGCCCCCCCCCCATTCTGTCTGCCCTTCCCCGCTCTGCTCGGGGCCCCGCACTGCCCTGTGAAGACTGCATCAGCCCACTCCCTTGACATCCGGCTCTCAGCTGTACTTGGTTGACGGGGAGCACCAGTAGGCACTTGGAGGAAGAAAAGAACAAAGTCAAGGTGTGTATCCCCCCAGCTCTCTCCTGCTGGCTCACCTGGGGCTGGCCATAAGCCTCAGTCCAAGGTTCCAGCTTCTGTCAGCCCCTTCAGGTTCCTGCTCCCGCTCCTTGTTTGTGCAGGCCTGGGAGAGGTGCCAGTGCCTGGAGCTCCGAGCCCCTCGAAGTCTTGTTACACCCTGCACAGATCAAGGTCCACAGTCCCTCTGAGTGTGCCACCTGTCCAGTCGCTGCCTGAAGCAGAGTTCATCGCTGAGGGGTAAGTGGAGGCAGAGAGCAAGAGCCTGGGGTGGGGGTGGGGGTCTCAGAAGAACGAAGTGGGTGAAAAGGAGCCTGAGAAGGAGCAGGCAGTGAATTCAAGGAGGGAAGGGTCAGGAGAGTCCAGTTTCCAGGCCACAGGAAGAACATGTCAGAAAGAGGTCACACTCGTCTACCAAATACTGCTGAGCATCCGGAGAGAGGAAGGCCAACACTCAGTCCTTAGCACAGCCAGACAGAAGAACTGTTACCTGAGGACAGCAGTCTCCACACAAGAGTGAGACATAGCCCGAGTGCGATGGATTAAGAAGACGACCCACAGGAACCGCATACAGCAGGGGCACACACCCTGTGCGGTGAGTTTTTCTGCAAAGGGGTGTCAGAAAATGGTGCCGTCCAGCTACAGAGAGGTCCGGCACTTCAGGAGTTTGTGTGCTTGTTTTTTTGATTTTTTTTAAAGATTTTTATTTATTTATTTGACCGAGAGAGTTCACAAGTAGGCAGAGAGGCAGGCAGATGGGGGGTGGCGAGCAGGCCCCCTTCTGAGCAGAGAGCCCGATGTGGAACTCGATCCCAGGACCCTGAGATCACGACCTGCGCCGAAGGCAGACGCTTTAACCCACTGAGCCACCCAGGAACCCCATGTGCTTGTTTTCTTAAGATGGGATGTTATTGGTCTTTATATGGGTCTTGGAAAATCTGGCGCAGCAGGACGGGGGTGCTGCCTCGTGGCAGCAAGAGGGCACAGAATGCAGGAGGATCACTGGCTGCAGCAGAGAGGAGTCCGGCCAAGGGACCGCCGGCCCGAGGGGGGATTGGTAGGTTGACTGCGGGGAGGAGGAGAACTATTCCCGCTGCTCTACTTTCTCGGTGAAAGAAGCAACAAGGTGACCCACCAAGAGGGAGAAGGGGCTTTGCAGGTCGGGAGGTGGAGGGGCAGGTGGAAATGCTCAGGGCAGGGACAAGGAAGAGAACCACTGGGGAACGTGGTGGTAGTTCTGAGCTGAGTGGGGTGCAGAGGGAAGTGTCTTTGGGAGTGAGGAAGTTAGCACGGGGCCAGGGGGCTGGAGCCTGTGACCCTTGATGGCATTTCTTCCTCCCTGGGCCCTCTCACTCAGCTGTCCCACACCCCCCTCCAGATCTCAGTGCATCCTGCTCCCCAGGCCCCTCTTTTCCTGCCAGGGCTCCCTGGCCCCTCACCCTCTGTCCTACTCACTGGCAGATGTCCCACCTTGAACCTCCAGGGCATGCCCCTGAGGCTCCAGCTCTACTGAAGTTCGCGCTGGACAGACTGGTGTCATCACAGTCCCCCCGAGGAACTCTTCAGGAGTCGCTGTGTTGGTACTGCCCCAGGCTTGGCGACAGCGTTGTCATCGGGCTCCACTGTACCTAGAAGGCCAGCACCTCCCAGCATCTTCTACAGATGTTCCTCCCCTTCTCCCTGCCCAGCGGCACGGAGATACAGTTGACACAGACACTGAACAGTGTGACGATTGGACACGTGTGTATATCAGCCGTGATTACATGGTCAGGTGAGTTCACATGTCCATCACTGCACACGGTTCCTTTTCCTTTTGTTGTGGTAAGAAGGCTTCATTAAGATAACTGGAAGTTTATACGTTTTGACCAACATGTCCCCATTTCCCCCCCTCCCAGCCCTTGGCGCCACCATCCTGCTCTGTTTCTGTGAGTTCAGACTTTCCAGAGGCCACGTGTCAGTGAGATGGTACGGCACCTGTCTTTCTCCATCTGGCGTGCTTCGTTCAGCTTGATGCCCTCGAGGATCACCCACATTGTCACGGGTGGCAGGATTTCCTTCCTTTTCATGACTGGACTCAGACATTTCTCCGCACGTATGTCTCACATCTCATCTCATCTCTCCATTCACCTGTAAATAGAGACGGACGCTTATTCCCATGTCCTGGCCATTGTGCATAAAGCTGCAGTGAGCATGGGGTGCAGACATCTTTCTAAGATCCCAGTTTCATTTCCTTAATTATCTACCTAGAAGTGGGATCACTGGGTCATTTGCCAGCACTGTTTTTAATTTGGGGACATCCGTGCTGTCTTCCATGGTTGCACCAGTTTGCGTTTCCACCAGCAGGGCACGAGGGCTCCCCTTCTTCTGCACCCCTCGACACCTGATGTCTCCTGTCTGTTGGGCCCTTGCCATCTTAATAGATGGGACCGCTGCTGGTGCTTTCAATCTGCGTTCTTCTGACGGTTCGTGGTGCTGGGGACCTTTTCATGTACTTGTTGGCTATTTGTATATCTTCTTTGGGAAAATGTCTGTTCAGGTCCTTTGCCCATTTTAAAATTGGATTATTTGGGTTTTCTTGCTTTTGAGTTATACAGTATTTTATATTGACCCCTTATCAGATATTTTCTCCCACTTTGTAAGTTGCCCTTCCATTTTGTTGGTTTCTTTTGCTGTGCAGTTTTTTATTTTTTTATTAAAGATTTTTTTTAAAGATTTTTATTTGTTTGACAGAGAGAGAGACAGTGAGAGAGGGAATATAAGCAGGGGGAGTAGGAGAAGGAGACGCAGGCTCCCTGCAGGTCTTGATCCTAGGACCCCGGGATCATGACTTGAGCCAAAGGCAGGTGCCCAACCGACCGAGCCCCCCAGACATCCCAGATTATTTTATCTATGTCTATGAAAAATGTCATTGGAATTTTGATAGAAATTGCATTTAATTTACAGACGGCTTTGGGTAGAATGAACATTTTGACAATATTGACTCTTCTGACCCATGAACACAGGGTGTGTGTGTGTGTCTGTGTCTATGCGCACAGTGGGGTGTCTTTTCATTTATTTGCATCTTCCTCAATATCCTATAGTTT